TTTTATTTTTTTTCACACACACATGCAACAAAACATAAGGCTGGTCATAGAACTGTTATTTTGCTGGATTTCCAGGAAAGTTGTTGGCTTACTATTCAGAGAAGATGACTTACCTACTTAAAATGCATTTACCTCAAAAGGGAATTCATTTATATATGTATGTGAGACACACATAATGTCCTAAGGTGGCTGCCTTCGCTCAGATACGGAGCAACACATTACAACTGTATTAGCTGATAAGTGAACTGTGGCTGGCTCACTCATCTGCATATAAAATCCATTTGCATGACATTATTAATGGGCTCACTCATCAACCTTCCCAGGTCACTTGCAATCTCAGGACATGTTTGTTACTCCCACCTGATGGGCCCCAGATGTTTCTATGTGAAACCACATGAACATGTCTTGCTAAGTTACCAATACAACAAAATCCCATTACAAAACACCAGATTCTATTCCAGTGGGAAGAACCATTTTGTTTTTTAATTTCCAAACTCTCATGAATCAATACTTTTGTATAAACCAAAATCATGCACTTGGATGTCAATGGCACATTAAAGTGTTATAGAGGTCTCTAAATGCTCACTCTTTTTTCTGTACTTAAGTGTCATAAACCAGTAACAAGCAGTTTGTAGATCAAACTAGTCCATTGTATTAGTTAGGGTTCTCCAGAGATTCAGAATCAACAGGATATGTTATAAATGTATGAGGGGATTCGGGGAATTAGCTCACACTATTGTGAAGAAAAGTCCCACAATAGGCTGTCTGCAAACTGGTTGCCCATAGCATGGCTCAGTCCAAGTCCAAAGACCTCGAAACCAGGGAAGCCAGTGGTGTCCTTGGTGTAAGTCCTGAAACCCAAAAGCTGAAGAGTTTCTAGCTCTGATATCCATGGACAGGACAGAAGAGTATATCCCAGCTCCAGCAGATAGAAAGAGAGATTCACATTTTTTTCTTTTTTTTTTTTTTTCTTTTTTTCTCTCTCCAGGAGCAGGTGGATTGGATGGTTCCCACCCACATTGAGGGCGGTATTTCCCACCCAGTCCACACAGGCAGTCATACTAATCTCTGCTGGAAACACCCTCATGGATACACCTAAAAAGATAGCTTTACCAGGTTTCTCAGCATTCCTTCATCTAATCAAGCTGACACTAGAATTAACCTTCACATCCATGAACCACTCTTTGCTGGACCAGAGGCTTAGTTATATTCTAGAGGAGAGTCCACCAACCTTTTCCGTAAAGGGCCAGACAATGAATGTTTTAGGCTTTACAAGCTATACAGTCTCTCATAACTACTCAATTTTGCTGTTGTAGCATGAAAGCAAGCATCAACAATAAGAAACTGAATTGGCTGTGTTCCATT